TTCCAATTCGGAGGATGATATTCAAGACTTAACCATCTAGGTTTAAGCTTAAGGTGTGTGACACACACATCTACCAGTCAACTTGTCAACCAAATTTGGGCTAAAATACAGACAGATCGTGTGAAAACTAACAAATCTGCGCTTTTCGATTTACTACCAACCCTTGTAGAGGATGTTTAAACGATAATCGATTCTATAACGCTCGTGTTAGTTGTAAAAGTACTTGATGTATGACTTCTAATATTAAATTTTGGAAGTAAACAATTGATGTGGAAAAAATAAACTTTATTTTGTAATTGAGAATGGTATATTACATAACATATAAGGCCATTAAGTATTCACTCTCTATGAATGCGGATTCTCTATAAATGCAGGTCGTGTCTGATTTGGCCATATGGTCCCGTCAGTGCTGAGAGTCCACTGTATATTTTATTTATAGTATATATTTTTTGTTTACTAATTTTTTTTTATATATAAACGTGGCTTTCCGACAAGCATTTTTTCGGCCCACCATAGCAATAACTACTGCTACTAGTATTAAAGTTTTCGGTGTTGATCATTGCCAAAAGATAATAAAAAGGAAAGGTTTACATTGCGCAGATAGATGTTATAGGCTGAGGTTGAGACAACAAACAAAGAAAATGTGGGTTTAATCTTTACAATATGTTAAAATTTTTAAACTTGAGTTTGTAAAATTGCTTAAATAAATTATTTATTTTGTTGTACACGTTTTTGTTCTCACTTTTTCACATCTCTTTTTTGCGCATATAAATAAAGGAAACAAAAATTTCCATGTTTTGTTTTTGTCACGTCGTTTCCTTATTTTAGCTTTTCACGTTTCATCTTTTTTACGCTGCCAAAAATTCTAAACTGAGGGAGCTAATCGAGAAAATCTTGGGTTATAGAACAGGCAAAAGTAGTACTTCAAAGATATCTGGAATCTTATCTGGTGCTATTTTTTTAAACGTAACGTCCTCTTGGTATGATTTAGAGCTCGTTGCGAAAATCTGATAACTAGTCTGAACTAATTGCCATTTCGGCTCGACATGCTTACCTATCGTCATTTTTAATATACCGATTACCTTTAATATTCGTTGTAATTTATTACCAAGCATAAGATTGATTACCATATTTGTCTTTCCGCTATGCGAACCCCCGCAAACTAGTAATCTGAACGGCCACTCGAGTGCGTATCTGTTACCCCTTATTCGTGCCAAAGAGTCTTTAGGCGTTTCGTCTAGTTGATGTACATAAATTGGCACTTTTTCTTCCTTCATCCCAGCTAAGGCACTAATTATACCTGAAAAATAATGAACTAGAATTATTGTTTTTAACCGTGTATATATTACGATTTTTTATTTGCGGAGCAAATACACTATGTACCCTCTGATAATTATCTAAAGAAGCAAAGTTTCGAGTCTCTGACTTATCTGGCACATAGAAACAATAGCAATGACATCAGAAATATTATCATATCCCTACTAAATAAACCTGTTTTTTTAAAACAATTTGTTGTAGCCTATACAAATCAATAACAAAGTTATTAGCAATTACTCCACCAGGGACTGCCACAGTGTATCCGGCTAAATTTAAAACTCCCGCATTAACGGGTGGATCCCAGAATACATCGGATACCGGAATGGTAACAGTGTAGTCAGCAATGCCTGGGGCAGTGCAACCAGTAGGTCCTCTACCATGAAATTGTGCTGTTCCGAAGTCCCACTATAATATTGCAAAATTTATATTTCTAAGCTCTTGAGATGCTAAATCACAGGAAATACTAAATGGTTCAAACTTACTTCAACAATGTATACACCAGCTAAATTTGGATTTGCTGATGATGTGCTTCCTGCTGGTGGTGGAATTTGGCGGGTCCATAACTTTGCCTAATATCAAAATAAAACTACTATCAGAGACGAAATTATAGAAATGAAGCAGCTAGCTAGACATACCGTCATAGACCGATGTCGTGACCCTCTCCTTTGTTCGTGGATTTTTATGCCGAATACGCATCGCACGTATTGTTCGAGCAACCAAGTTTCGCATTTTTTGTTCCAATATGCGGTACTTTCAAGTACGGCTACTTCAACAATGATTCGGGCATGTGAGTAGTTCTGTGTGAACATACTAATATTAAAAAAAAAAAGCTCAAAATAAATGTGACAATATTAATAATATATTATTAGACTTGATGTACGTCTGTATCTCCAGGAGGAAGTCCAGGATTTAAAGGAACTTGAACAAGTGCAATGTTCGGACAGATTGCAATATCTGCTGCTATCTTTATTTTAATATGAGAAGGATCACGATGAACTGTAGGGAAAAATGTAAAATGTTATTACGATCCAAAGATCAAGAAGATCAAGAAAAATTAGAGAAATTTCTCACATGCTTGTAGCGTAAGAGCAATTGGTGGGTCATCGTCAACTCCACCGTTTGGCACTTCAAAGTACTTAATTAATCGTATAACAATCATTTCGTGCTCAGACTTTGCCATACCGACAATGTATACGTTTCCGTTATCCCAGTGAAATTTATATCCCTTTGAAGTGTTATGCTCAAGAAAATTATTATAAGCTTTTTCCAGAACTTTCGAACCAATCTGGAGAGGTAAACTGCAGCCGTACATGAGTCAACATTGAGCAGATAAAGAATCATACGTGACATCATGCACTCACCTATTCTCTGGAGTCTCTTCTGGCAACGTCGGATAGTTTGGATATCTATGGAATACACCACTAACAGTCCGTGCGAGTGAGAGGATAGAAGCGCATGGCAACTGGAAGGTCTGGGGGTGCTTATCTTGAAGTTTCTTTCGAACAGAAAACATTTTGAAAAGGGTGGGTTGTTTGGAGAAACAAAAATATGATAAATGTAATGATTAATTAATATACGAGTAATTGTGCCTATTTTGCAGTCCCGTGATCTCCGACGCGGGGAATCGACTTGTATGGCGTATTTCGGCTCCCGTCTTTTGGCTCCGCCCTCGAATTAGTTAACCATAGAATATTTATGTAGCATATTATATGAAGCAAAAAATCAGATAGTTTGCCTGTTACTGATTCGGCTATTTGGAAGTAAGCGTACACAGTCCATCTCTCTTTATGATCACCTGCGGATCGGCTATTCAAACGTATGAAATTCGATAGTCCTTTTTCGGTCACATTTTTGTGGAAACTCTATGTCATGGTAAAGAGTATTTTATCCCGATAAATATGCACAATGTCAATAATAAGCTCGAAGCAAATCGCGCAACTGCAGTACAGCATACAGATTTGTCAGTATCCAATCATGCTATTTTAGTCGAAACTTGAGCAGTTAATAAATTGTGAGGAGCTTGAAAAATCATTATAAAAAGTCCTTGAATTTAATGCCAAACTAATTGATGCTAATAAATTTTTATTGCAAATAGCAAAAAAAAAAAAAAAAAAAACAGAATTAATTGGAAAGCATAGCTTTGGAACTTTGTCTCATCTGCTCTGTTTCATATAATAACTTTTCCGTTTCTATGTGATCTCGCTTAAGTAGGTTCGTATATCTTGCTCTTCTACCAATGAATAGTTATCAATTATTTCAGTTTCAACCGTACGCGCCCCGCTAATTCCCATAAATTTTGAAGTCAGAATGCTTCACATCCTTTCGTCGAAATATCAGGCACGTCAGTGTCCAGTAATTTACGCCTTGTTGAAGTCACTCGCAATTGTTCCAAGAACATGCTCTATGAATATGATATTTATCTACTATTGCGTATATAGGGACTTTATTTTTTAGCGTTCTAATTTCTTCGATTTGCTCAGGAGTCAATTTCGTGGCACCTCGACGATAAGAAATGAAGTAGTCATGTTATTTATCATTTATTATCACTTTGCTAGTGTCTTTGACACAAATTTTTGGATAATATCTAAAACGCTAACGAACAAATTGAAACGTTTTATATTGTTAAAAATCATTCAACAATAGTTTTTATTTCTTACACTATACTTTGACATAGATATTAAGAACGTTTTAGTGGGAGTATATATTTATGGTTTATAGGAAGCTAGACCTTGAAGAAGAAATTTATCATTCGAATATAAATAAACATTATTACGAAAAAAAACCGATACAAAATTAAGTAAAGAAAACGCGTATTCGAAGAGGAAACAAGTATTTCTGTGCAAACGTATTGGAGACAGAAGCTTTTCAGAAGATGATAATTCGACGCTTAGGTGGGTCAGTAAAAAAGGCTAAACGCCAAATTTATTAAACCATAAAATAAATCGCACGGCAATCTTATGCGACAGAGAATTTTTCACATATACTAACCTTGGTTTTTTCGCAAACAAAATTTTTATCACACTTCTCACACACACTGCCCTACCATAAATTACCAGATTATATATTTTTTTACGAGTAAAACATATGAAAAGTCTTTTTTTTTCAAAAATCTCTGCCTATGTGTACTATGTGAATGACAATAGTTTTTGTATACTTTTTAAAAAAAATCAACAGTAAATTATATATTCTTGTTATAAAGCCGTAGAATCAAGGAAGTAAGAGTATATATGTACTCCACATATAATCATATATATTTTATACCATAATTTAAAGACTGCCATTTCACAAAGCTATAGCTTTATAATCTAATTTTGTAGATGCAGTGTCTGTTTTTTGACGAGGGGGGTTGGTTTGTTGAGGAGGATCTGTTTGGTTGACTATGCTTTCTTTGGCAGAGCCAAGATCAGTAGGAATCGATGAAGGAATCTTCTGCTTGTTTGTTTATTGGTAAATTCGTTCAATTGGCTGTATAACGGAGCTCTCTTTTCAGATGCGGACGATGAAGTTGGGGAGTGGAGCTGTATTAGATATGTATTTAAATTTATACATAATTTGTCGTCACGTACATCCAATCCCCTACAATAGAGACTTTGAGCCTAGCCTGGCTTTTGGCTGGTTCGTATAGGCTTTTCTTTGCTATGCTGTGGCAAACAAATGCAGTATATCGAAGGTATTCAATTTTGTAGCAGAGCCACTTCCCAAACCGTATTGAGTGGCTTTTGCGGTGAAAATAGTCATGCTATGAAATGTTTGCGCAGTTGACTTTATGCTTTCAATAGCTCATGAGCGAGTACGAGCGTATGGCATTAGTGTCGGCTTTTTTGCATTTGAACACGTTTACGTATAGCATATGAAACTTTGAATACCTACAGTTATTAGTCACCATCTAGCAATTTCTAGTAAATGTCATTCGACGCTAACGCAGTCGTTTCAAGCCAATCAGAATTTTCTTTCGGGACGTAAACTCCTTGGTGAAGTTAAGAAATACGCCGTTCGCTTTAAGTAACGCTGTTACTGTTTATTTTCCACATTAACTTCAAGTACGTGAACAGTGGTTGGGCCAACTATTTGTATTCGGTTTTTAATGTTATTTTGAAGTTGTATATATCGGGAAGATAGTCTGGGTGTTTCCATATGTATGATAAACTATTACGGCTATGTAACGAATTTCTAACTGTATTCTAAATTCTAATATTGTATTTCGTATCTGCATCAATAAGTACACATGTATTAATTAATTAACACTACTATATGAAATAGTTATTTTGATTGTCCGAAACTAATAAGAAAAAACTTAAAATATGTTGTATTATTCAATGGCTCTTGTACTTCAGATGAGCTAAGTAGAATACTTCGTTTATATGTTAATGATTGGCGTAATGTATATAAAATCGTCAATAAGCATCTATGTGAACAGAAATTTATTGCCTTTGATTTAAGTGTACCTCCTGACATCCTCATAGACTGAGACTCGGTTGGGATTAAGTGATTGATCTTTCTAATGAGTAGAGCGTAATTCACGATGACGAGATAATAATTATTTTTCCCGTATTTATTAATACAACAACATAAGTACTCGCCACTTCTATTAAGAAGCTGTCCGTATCCAGCCGTGATTGGAATTGGGGATCAATTATTTTTACCGAACAACATATGAGTTCAAACAACATATAATTCACAACATGAGGTTTTGATGATGAGAGAAGCTCTACTTATATAAGGCTTGCCACCAAAATCCCGTCACTAGATTAAGCTATTACTATATTTTGTACCTGTATTGTCACCATTTTTCCGTCACGAAATAATTACTACATTTGAACTCTAGTGTGACAATACTAAAATTAGATCGCTGCGGGTAGTATTTTTCGACCACGGAGGAAGATTTTATCACCTGACTTGCTCGACTGCGTCAGCAGACCAGCTCGTCGTAACACTCGTTTCTAAGTTCAGCATTTTCAGCCAAAAGCCTAGCGTTCTCTTGTTTCAATAGATCTAGTTCGGATTTGGTATTTCCCATTGTTTTGTATAAGATACAAATATATTCAAATAAAAAAATCACATATTTCCGTTCCACTTCGGAACGCAGATCACTTTTGTCAAGAAAAAAAAATAATTACGACTATACATAAGTACATTATTAACTTCCTATACCCGCAATAAGCGATTGGTCGTGCCACCCCACTGATATATTTACACGAAAATCTTTATTTAGCGCATGATGATCGTTGATATCCTAGAAAAATCTATACGAGCGGTGAATTTCTATTATATAACTACGAACTACGAAACAATAGATCTAGACTACATTATCAGCTACTCAGCATCAGATATCGAAACCCGTTTTGATATAAAAATAAAAATAAAATTTTTTTCTGGGCCTCCAATCCACGTCTCGCATATCTCAAGTCTAAAGAAGAAAAAAAAAATTGATCCAATGATCATGGATTATGTAAGATTAACAATTGACTTGCAGTACAACCTTATATACTATTATTTATTCTTGGGAGTTTTTTTGGGGGATACTGTTGTTTCTGGGAGATTATCTATTGTAAATAAATCCTCTGACTTTGTGCGTAAAGCAATTAATTTTATTTTCTTAACAGTATCAAGAGCATTGTTTATATCTTCCTGCAATTATCGAAAACAATTAGAAACTGAAATTTGTAAAAAATTGACAACACAAAGACATACCTTTAAGCGCAGAATATCTTTTAAAGACATAAGGCTTTCCGGAATACTTCCCCACGTAGTACCAACCCGATACCGACATGTCTCAAAAACGAAATAATATTGAAGGTCATTATCGTAGTACATTGCATAGATCTTTCCGTTAAGACCTTGAATGTAAAGAATGGGTCTTAGCCAAGAGTAAAAGATAATCAATACAAGAATATATCCATTGTTTTTTATAACTACCTCCTTGATTTATTCCATGTACAACAATGTTCTTTATCTGTTTAATTGTTTCCCTTGTAAATTTTAACTTCTTCAAGAGACAGTCTAATTGATCCTTCATTTCTCGCAAAATTTTATGCTTGTAGGAAATCGGTTGATCTTCGTCAACATATGTTTCTGAACTGAAATATTCCACATCATCAATACGAAATAAAATATCAATTTTGTGTCCAGATTTTTTTTTTCAGACTCATCTCTTAGTAAGTTTTTACGTTCAGTAGATGCCAACGATATCTTTTCACCTCTGAAGTGGCAGAAGAAACAATTTGGATAAATATTGAGACACAAAGCTAAGAAATTAACTATCGCAAAAAATTTTATTAGGAAACTTCATACTAACCGATGAATTTGAATTTCCTCACATGTCAAAAAGCAATCATCTATCAACGGAGCCAAGACATGACAATTCAGCCAACCTTCAGAGTTTTTATCCAAGAGTGGATTTCGTGGAGCTTCAAAAAACAATGATCTAGGTATTAAGGCGAATTGTTATGAGATGGGTTACAACATAAACAATGCAAAAATTCTGTCTATAGAAACGAGAACTAGATAAGACTCACAGTTTGTCAGCAAAACGATGGACCCAATGTATTTCATAGTGTTTGCTAAATGAATATGTTTCATCTGGTGAAACAAATGGAAGTTGAAGTTTGCTACGGAATTTATTGCGAGTATCAGACTGAAATCAGATATAAGGAAAAAGTTAATGATAATAAGGAAAAAGAAATTACTAGTGACAAATCCTTAGAACATACGTTATCGATTAATTCATCAATATATTTTGTAGCCTCATTAGTGACGGGATCCCATGTATAATCGCGTTTGATTTGCAATCTATCCATTAAAAGCCTGTTTGTTGTGTCAATTATGTTTGAGCAGATTGGTTCACTATAATAAAAAAATGGTGAAAATAGTCAGTTAATAATATAATATAGGAATATAAATTAGCTTTAATAGATATGTTTTTACTTACTATGTGGATTTCGTTCGCTGTTTTTCTTGACTTAATCGTTTAAGTAAGTCTTGATTTTCAGATGTAGAGTGAATTTGATGAGGCGGAGTACGTGGTATATCACACCCGGAACTATTAACATTGTTTATATCACTAGTCATTTCCGTAGCTCCAATTGGCATCTCCAAGGATTGTGAACCTAATGATGATGGTGTAGCTTTCGAATGTGTAGATCCTTCAGCTCTATTATTGTTTATGAATGGATCAACATCCCTGCTGATTTTGGCCTGCTCATGCAACAAATAGTAGAAATTTTTAAAGAAATTCACTCCTAATGATAAGGTTGCATTCCATACAAATATTTTTTTTACCTTTTTTGAAACAGCAGAGTCGACCGATTGTTTATTCTGTAGATATAAGAAGTAATTATTAAAAAACGCTTATATAAAGTTCAAGGCAACATTTTTATACCAAAAAAAAAAACAACTTTACTAACCTTTTTCGAGAGGGATAGATTTTTTTTTTTTACGCTTTTGTCCAGATGATGTATCTGCAGATTCTGCGCGTGAATTAACTTTACCAATATATTCATTGCTTTTTTGACTACGAGAAGCATCAAGCACATTTAATGCATCAATCTGCGATTTTTTGTCAAAAATATCCTAAAAGAAGGTTGGCAAGTGAGAACACAACCAATATTTTTAACACTTTAAGGAGCCCTATTCAAGTCCATACACACCTTCTTTATTGCCAACTGTCTTTCTAACTCAAAATTTCCCCAAAAGCTCGTAGCTTCAGGTGGGTGTTTCTAGGAAAACTTGAAACAAATTAGTAAATGTGAATCAAGAAGGTAGTACATTCCATACATAACTCATGAGCTTTCTAGGGGAACGACACCCCACAACTGTCACACTGGGGAACGACACCCCTACTCACAGGAGGACCGACACCGCCTTAAGCTGTGCAACAGCAGAGAAGCTCATGAAATGTCGCACTAGGGAACGACACCCCATACCCCTAGAAGGACGACACCGTCCAGAGGTTGTGCACATCTCTCTTTTTATGAACAAAAATAAGGTTTAAATAAAATGTTGACGAACCTGTTGAATCAGAAAAGTTGCAATTTCAAATCGCGTTTTACTATTGTCGTCATATATCTTTTGCTCTTCTTCATCAACAAGAGTACCAGTCAGAAAGGTCAGAAACTGCTTCCGCCATATGGATTTTCGCTTGTCTAACAAACCTTTAGCTGAATTAAGATGGGGTTTCATTATCTCAAGAAAACCTATATACGACCGCTCTAATAAATCTAATTGGTGAGAAAAAACAAATGTCCGAAATTTTGTTCTGCAGATCACTTATCAATCACATGACATTTATCCAATAAAATTCTTTAAAATCATAATGCAAATTTCGCTTTATTTTGAAAATTATAACACTTTCATCTGCGATACTTCAAACTCCGGGTCAAAATCATCTGTGTAAGAACAAAACTTTAATATTGAACTCGGAATTAATGTTGTAGATTGAACAGCATACTTACCTATATAATGTATTTAAGAAAATTGATTCCTCCCATGCATTTTCGGGAATGTCCATTCGTTAAATGGCTTCGAGGGAGTCTCAATAAACACTGTGAACTTATGTTACTTTTTGATACTAGCGACCGCAACATCTCACGGAAAAAGTCATCGCTCCTGGGTAAATATCTCCCTCCATCATTCACGAAGTTAAATACTACGGTCGGATTTTCAAGTGCTGGCATTTGATATATTCTCCTTAAGATTTTCGAGGGTTGCTCGCTGTCCACTTGAATCCCTTCGTTCGTTTTGGGCTAACAACAACGTCGAACTCTGTAACATAACAGCAGGGTTAGTAAAAAATCTTTTTCAAAATATAGACGATTTGTCACGGTTTTTGCCAAGAAATTTTTGCTTCGCAGGCGTATACTGCCTATACACATACGTACCATAGACAGACTTGTTAAGCAATGCCTCCAATGATGCGACACGGTCAAGTAATTCCTGTTCACGATTCGAAATGGTGGTTGACGTGGGCGATTCGACTAAGACATGATATACCTTTTAGGTGGTTTCTCGGTCCAGTAGTCTTCTACGTCTCGAGTTGCGAGGAGTTCGACATCTAATGTGGGGTTGGCCAACTCGGAATCGCGATCGTCAGGAATTTCCACCTTCCATAACTTGAGTCTGTCTGCAGGAATGTGGTCGAACTCCGGTGCCTTTTTTGTTTTGATAGCGTCTTTGAGCTCACTAATAGGCTCATCCCTATTTATTCTAACAGAGAAAGTGTTCGTGGATGTGTTTCCTTTGACAAGACAGAATAAAGTGACCGACATTTCGAGTTATATATAATTTTTTCGTGGAATGTTATGGTTCAACTGTTGAACTTTATTGTCTAGCTACAGATAAACTGCTAAAGCTAGTTTTAACATATATGCATAGCACACAGAGGTACAATAAAGAGCTTGGCTGAATAGCCTGGAATAGAGTATGAGGAGAGTAATAATTTCTTTACACTATGTGGCGAATAATCATGCGAGATTACAAATTTGGTATAGATTTTAAATTTTGCTATTATTGTTATGGTCAAGAAATCCCACACATTTATCCCACTCTTTTAACGTCGCACAGTATAATTCCTATATAAGGAGTAATCCTCATTGTAAAAACCAACATTAATTCCTATATATATACTGAGTACTGTACGGCTACAAAGTTGTTACACAGTATAAGTAGTCATGTGATCCGTAATTTTACAAATATTTCGCACCCTACATTCTAAACAACTACTAATGAGAGATTTCCAGGACACCTTTCGTCTCCAGTGCAGGAGTTGTAAGTGCGAGGAGTTCGATCCTGACGAGAGTGGGAGAGTCTGCGTGAACGAGGAATGCAGCCATCGTGCTGCCAAACACATTATCAAACCAGGTAGGGCGCTCTTCGTAACTCGGCATTGGGGCATAGGGTAGAGCTTAGCAAAGTAGACAAACTTGTTTTTATCCATCTGTTTACTGTCCGTGACTTGACTAATACTAACTGGTCCTTTTACATCAGTCGTTTTGAGTTTATATAAACTCAAAACGACTTAGATTAGACTATAATAGTCTCAGGTATGTGCCATGATTCATTTTTTACGACACACTCGTCAGTGTCATGACGACAGAAATGCGACACCGTCGTCAGTGTCGTGATATA